CTTTGTGAAATTAAAAATAAGGTATTTAATTAATAACTATTGTAACTATAGTGAAAAAATAGGGTGGTTTGCATCAATATTAGACATAACTGGTTGAAGACTGTACCACCTCAGGCAACCGTGACCATGGGACCTGTAAAGGGCCCAAAAAGTCGGTTTGTTTGAAAAAACAAATATACGCGATTTAAATCCGGAAAAATAGTTTAATTTCCTATGTGTAACAATCGCAAAAACCTAAGAACTCGATAATCTCCTCCTTTTTGGAAGTCGGTTAAAAAGTGTATTTACTTGTTACTAGGATTGGAGAATTCTTTATGGTTACCGAATTCGTACGTCACATATTTTTTTGACGATTATCTACGGCACGAGAGCCGCATTGGTACAAATGTCATCTCACAAACATCAACAAATACACGAAAACCCTAACATAATAATCTCAGTACAGAGTACTAAAAAAACCGATCTCAAAAGTACGTGGAATTGCATATAATTACCAAGTTTTATTGAAATCGGTTACCGGAAAGTGAGCAAACCCGCATTCATCCCCTAGTTCGCCACTATACGGGACTTGACACAGGACATAATAAAAGTCGGTTGTCATTACTCAAAGTATATTGAGAGAAAACTCCTTGAATTGGAGAATAGCAAAATAATTGCTAAACAACATTGACTTACAATTATATGGGCGTCGGGTCCGCGCTAAAAAGTGTCCGCACTTGTAATCGTATACAGAGCGCCAAACTCCGCTTTAGTCTTCATTTGTTCGACTGACAGCGCGATACTGCGATGACATTACAATTTAAATTTCGAATAGGTTGACTTGGGACATTTTTTTCGTGGTTTTTGTATTAGACCCGTCGTCCAGTTATTTGTAAGTCAATGCTAAACAACTATTAAAATAATTGCTCTTTATAATAAAATTTAGGCGCTATTTATAAAAATGAGGTGGAGATTTTCTTCAAAATTAAATGGGACCACTATGGAGGTACCCTCTTTCCAACAAAAAATAATCATGAAAATCGGTTTACAAATACCGGAGTTATCGCGTAACATACATACAAAAAAAAAATGCAGTCGAATTGAGAACCTCCTCCTTTTTTTGAAGTCGGTTAAAAATAGAACCGGCAGTGTAAGCAATTGATCGCAATCAAATAACAATAATCGATTGTCTTTATTTGTCACTGTACGTAATTAATGTGACAACAAAACATTTACATATATATATTTGTATCTCAAACACATTATCCCATTCAAGATAGCTAATATTTACGAGTGTTCGCCCGCTTCGCACATGGGATATAGATGGGCAAAAAACGAGACAAAAACTTCTTCCGCGACGGAAATATTAAACTTATGAACGACGACGCCATATTGGAATAATGAGGGATCAATACTGAATATCAGAAAGTTCTAGGCGGCAACAACATAATGTATGACATCGATACGCTAAGTAGAAGAGTAGAATATTGAATAAGTAATTTATAAATAACACTTATGACGGTCTCGTTAAGTACAGACAAGTCTTAAATCGGCTAGAGTGAATTTACTGTCTTTTCAGTGCATTAAGACAAAAGAAACTAAATAGGGAGGCTACAATGGATAGAAATACAAACAATACCCTTTCCAATTCTTAAATTTCTATCCTAAGGTTACCTGAAACAGATTGCCGCATAGCAATAAGGCCACGTTGTACATTAACTTATTCTGTGATACTTACATTACTGTTCTGTGTTGTTATTGTAATTTTTAATATGCAATAAAGAATACATCAATCATTTACAATACATAAATCTCTTCTTTGAGTATACAAGACTACAAGAATGCATAAACGTCCAATGTTATCCAAGGGTTCTCCAATAATTGTAAACACTATACTTCTACATTAGCACATACAAGTGATGTAAGACTTATTATTTCATAATTTTCCAACTTCTTATCTTGTAGATATTCAAGTTTTGAAACACAACATTAAAGAACTTTCCATTATAAATGTTGGCCAATTCAAAAAGGTTTTTATTTTATTTTTTTAGGTAAAAGATGTCGTAACGACCCCTTTAAAATATACATTAAATGTTTATTTTAAGTGCGCAACTTTTGGAGGGTTCAGTTTATGGTACCTTACATCGAAAAATTTAAGTGGTAATAAAGAGAAATCACACTGAAGAGGCTTTTCACAGGCTGAAAAGGAAACTTTTTACGACTTTTGTGTATGTAAAACCATGCCAGGCTCTTCAAAAACTTATTATAATAAAATACATATTACATATACATATATTAGACAATTTGATCCCAAAGTAAGTAACTAAAGCACTTGTGTTATGGAAATCGAAAACAACGACGGTACCACAAACACCCAGACCCGAGACAATATTGAAAAATTTGTTCTATATTCACCCGGCCGGGAATCGAACCCGGGACGTCAGTGATGGCGACACCATGAAAACCAGTGTACTAGCCACTCGACCACAGAGGTCATCAAAATTATAAAATGCTCTTTGTTTACTCTTTTATTAATATTTTTAATGAATTTTTGTTGACTGGTTTTGTTCCCAAGCTTCAACCTTTTTGAAAGTTATTTTTTATGCATTGTTTAAGAATTAGTAGGATATATTTGAGTTGAACTAAAAGCTTTAAAAAAGTTATAGTTAAATTTGTTCAAATAACGCATACATAATAATAATAACAACGCACACCCCGCACTAGGGAAACCGTGTGTTGCGGGTGCTATGGACACACACATAGACAACCACAAATTACACCCAAACTCACGAAATAAATTTAGGCCATACAAATATTTCTCTTGGCCTGCGAATCGAACCTGGGACCTCTGCATGGCAGGCAGCAGCAGTAACGATTACATTCGAAATTGTACGTTTGGTTTTAGTGATGTTGCAATGGCAATAATTTTATGTGTAAACAATCACGACATCTTAAATCGTTTTTAAGGCCATCAGCAAAGCTTGGTTGAACATGTTTTTGGTCACAGATTGTCACAAATTGAATATTTTATAATAAACAAAAAATCGATAAAACAACGACCCAATCTCAAGCACAAACAGAAAAATCGCTCACTGCAGGCTAGATTATAGTTACAGACTACCTTTATACCAAAAATTTCGATTATCGCGAATTATTTTTGTTTTAAGAGTGTTGTTACGACATCCTCCACCTAAAAAAAATATTGTTTTGGACTACTTCAAATGGGTCACCATAATATGTATACCTACCCAGTAATATAGTGATCGTCACAGAACTAGTAAGTAACACAGGGTAAACGTTAGGTGTTAAAAGATTCATAAATAAACGTACAAGGCTCGAATAGATATCGATTTAATGATCAAAAGCCTTTTTAGAGTTTTGTACTGTACAATGGCACGGCGACGATTCGTCGTTCAAACGATTTTCGTGGAAAAAACATTGGGTATTTGTTCAGTTAACGTTTCGATTATTAATTACTAAACAACACCTATAGGTATGCAGTATCTACACCTATAGGTACGTAGTAGATTAGACACACAATATTTACAAATATTTTATGACGCGTGTAAATATATATATATAGTATAATTCAGTGATTGTGTAGAATACCTCGCATTCCAATACCGGGGTCCTATATATATTTATTTAACTATTATACACATTGCCTAGACATTGTATACACAGTATAGATATTGTATAGAATGTAGCTGGCTGTAGATTTGGCAAAGTGAAATGAAAGACAAAACAATGAAATCAGTCATTTATAACTGCTTCTGTGTCCGAACGGTTACCATGCTGAATTTCCACGCAAACATTCCGGAGTCGATTTCTGGACCAGGAGAAATATTCGTATGGCCTACATTTATTTATCTCATGAGTTTGGATGTAATTTGTGTTTGTCTATGTGTGTCCGTGGCACCCGTGATACAGGGTTTCTCTAGTGTGGGGCTATGAGTTATAACACGTTTTTGGGAGTAAAATACTGACTTGCACACTAAATTATCCCATATTAGAACGGAATTTCTACACGAGTCAAGCGAGCAGTCGGCGAGTGATAGAACCGAATCTGTTTGCGGTTGTTAGACCCTTGACCTTGTAGGTTTAGGTTAGGTTATTATAAGAAAAAGAAGCACGAGGCAAGCGAGCGTAGTGAGCATGCCGCGGCAGCGGCCGGCAAATGCCATAACAGAATTAAAAAAAAAGTAATGTTTTGAAAAGTTTAATGAATTTAATTTTTGTAGTAAGTCAAAATTATCGGATTTACTTTCAGATGGTCACTTAACACAACAGTTTATTAATAGATTAAATAGATTCTAAGTTTGAGTTGTGTAGTGTGCTTCGCGTATTTAATGTATAAGAACTTTCGGTGTTACCCTCGAATATTTTCTTTTAAGGCATAGGGTTCTTAAACAATTGCATAATTTGTAATTTAATTACCAATTCTTATAATTACGTCCAATTCTTATAATCTTATTTTCTTATAATTGCGTACTTATTCTTACGAGATGAACTTTTGTGACACTTGCGACGTGCATAAACTATTCATCTTAACACACAAGCGCTTCTTATTATCACAATTACATTGTGCACCTTTACAAAATCTCAGGTTATTGCCTAGGGCACGTTCGGTATTATAGAAAATACCTAGATCAAGTTTGTAATAGAGTTTATTTCATACATTGACAGATTGTTTTAGGCATTGCATAGAATACCGTATTACATACATGGCCGGTAATATTTGGTGTGGTATACACAATTCAGTCCGTTCTCTCAGAATCACCTAACGTGTTTGTTCAAAAACATCTTTTACATACAGACACGCTGATTCAAACTGATTTATGTTTTTCCCCGTTCTTTGCGTTGCATTATCACTTTTGTTATTAACTAATTAAATAAGATATGAGAACCTAAGTAACTGTCAAGTACGCATAACGCTTGGTTGCAACGTAGTTCTAAAAATCGATAAGTACGAGTGCGATTTTCTAGAAGTTTCATTACGATTCAAGTTTTTTTTTAATTACCTGTAAACACCGTAGTGTTTCCCAGAAGCTCTGTCGCCGCATATGGAGCAGAGGTGTTTCGAGCCACTGAGTGGGTGATTGGGGGGGTACTGGCGGATGGAGGAGGGCGAGGTGGCGTCGTCGCGCAGCCCGTCCAGCATCGCCGTATCCGGCTTCATCTCCGGCGGGGACATCGGCGACATAAAGCCCCCCTCCAGGTTCAACCCTGCAAGTAAATATGTAACTTTATATTTACAGTTCAACTTCTACAGACAGGAGGCGAACGAGTACATATTTACGTTGTCCTACACTCATGGACTCATATTTAGAGGAACGCTAAAAAAGGTTGAAATATAATAACAATATTAATTTGAACCACTAGCCGAATATACCAGAAAGTTAAATTTTTAAAAATAATGACTTCAATCGTCCTTCGATATCGACTACATTGCGCGCATATGTATGTCTGGTATCCATCGAGTATAACCAGAAATAGATACGAAATAAGGGCCATCCATCCCTGGCAACTCATCAGGCAAATGGGCCTTATATCACTTTTAAATATCAACTCTCGTCTGCGTTGAAATCACAAATTAAAAAGCTGAAATAGTACAGCTCCAACAACTGACGGTGTATACGTCTCCGTATATTCCAAAATTATTCTGTATTTATTATATTCAATAGACAATATTTCTAACAATGGGAGGCTATTCCATTCCGTGGCATGAGAAAAACAGAAAAGTCAAAAAAAAGGAATCACATTTCATTGGTAATTAAATATGTAATTTTTAAATATTCCTTCCATTATAGCAAAGCTCAAGTTAAACTGGTCGTTTGAAGTGAAACAATTGATGACACCCGTAAATTCTTTCGAATTTGGGCTGGCCAATCAGAGATCAATTGTCACCGTAATGATTTGCCAGAATAGTTTTCAAACAAATTAAATGACATTTCGTCTCTATTTCTGTGTATCTCGATGCTCGTATCCAACACAAGACACAATGTACGCGCAAACCTTGAACGCCCCGCTGAACGCACTACCGTTGCGAATTTGTGGCTTAAGCGTTCTGGTATATGTGGCCAGTGATTCATTATGAACGTTGTTATCACCATTCAATCTTTTTTAGCGTTCCTCTAGAAATATCCATGATCATAGATAGTATGAATATGAAATCCAGCTTAGTATGAATGGGTAACGTCAATAAAGAACAATGGCAAACTCCCATATAAATTTTTGTTGACATAATTTGTATGCGTGTTTATGAACAAGGATTTACTATTCTGAGAAGTTCCAGACTTCTTCAGAATTAAAGATATTCCAGTTTGAAGGTTTATTAATATTATTACTGTATCAAAATAAAATGCAGAATCCGTAAACAGAGTTAATAGAAGCTGAATGATGCCGCGGGTTTGTGACGTGACGAAAGTTCAGAGGAAATTATTTTTTATATTGGTATGGTCAAAAGGCATGAAGTTAAGCCGTAACAAAAACAACACATACCACAGACTATTGCGCTGGTAACTCGGAGAAAAATTATTTGTTTGTGGAACGTGCCATTTATCTCTGATTTCGGGAACTTTTTTATTTTTAATCTTTTTTTCGTGTGGCATTTTGGAAAAGAAATTATCTACTTTTTTTGTAATAAAGTAGTTAATCACTTATTAGCTTATTACAAATCGCTGAATCAGTGCATTTGATGTTACGAGCTAAATGTGGACCATATCCATACGTAGGCACTGAAATGATTTTTTTGGAGGCTAGATGTCGCTCAACGTTAAGAAACTAAGAAACTGACAGTTGTAGACATCAATCCAGTTACTTACCAATTAGTCATTGTAGTTACTTTTAAATATAATTTCATTTCGAAAGTGAGTATAGGCCGCTATTATACTTTGGAAGACCTAATGAATTTATTTTACTTAAACTTGTAATTAAGACATTTGAATACGCCAACGAATTCTTTTAACTATGATTTTCATTTTGTTCTTTAATTATTTTTTGTGTAACGAGTCTACCTAATAAACTAGTACTTCATATGCTCCACAGGCGTTATGCGAGAATATTTTGAGAAACAATAAATTCATTTCTGATCATTTATAGTATTTTTTTTCTTATTCATTCCGGAAACTTATAGTGCGCCACACGTAGCAGGCGGACACAACAGATTTTTGTAATTTTCTCTCCCGTGTTTCGCTATTACATATATAAAATATGTAATAGTACAGTAGCAACGCATAATGTACGCTCATTAAACGTATTCCATAATCGTCATATATGTTAAAGTAGTGAAACAAGAAGTAGTATTTTTATACGAGCTCGGTACGGCTAAAACCATTTATATTCTGGAGAGATTACGAACACGTGCCAACCTGTGGACGTCAAATAAGCAAACAAATTTTTACTATTCACTACCAAAAAAATAATTTAAATGGCATTATTGCGAAGAACAGGTGTTAAGTTACAAAGTATGAAACACCTGCTAGTGAAAATATTTATTAAAAGGATCCGCATAATCTTATAAAATTTTAAATTGACTTAATTAATGCGTACATGTGTTAATGACAGTAACCCAAAATAATTTCTATAGTATGATTTTATTACTAATCATAGCGATTCATGTAAATAGATCCTGTTTTTACGTAGGTTGTTAACATTCAGGCAAAGCACATAAAAAGAGAACTTATAAAATAGACGTTGGACTATAAACTATTTGCATTTTTACGGTAACAATTTCTTTTAAGTACTTCTGTTGACGTTAGCAAACGGAATTTATTGCGGAATTAATGAAATATTTCGTTTCAAAACAATAAAAAAAGATATGTCTTTCTTAGAAAACACAACGAAACCGGCCATTTGACGGAGGGGTAGTGGGGACAAAAAGCTAACAAATAAACTACCACCCTTCCGACTCGATGCGCGTTTGAAAACTTAACTGAGTGGAATATACCTCGTCTGTTCATAAGTTTTGAGACAAACTTTGATTAAAAAAAAATATATCAGTAATATTGGCAGCTGGTTATTTCTTTTTTCAATTTTGAATGTCTGTGTGCTATATATACGTTTTTAAATTAATTTGTCACAAAACAAACAGTAATGTGCAACTGTAATTTCGCTACATATGGTGCGAAAAAAAACAATGGAGATTTTCCTTGACATAAAATGGTAAGCCAAAACTTCGCATTGACACCACTAAACTTTACAAGGAGATGATTCTTTGAAAGGCCGCCATAGGAGTGGACGCCCACGTTCGCGAACATCAACATTATCAGAGAGCAACTTCGCCGAAATCCATGTCGCACCAAGAAGAAACTCGCTTTACAGTGTTTCAGTCAGCAGAATACTGAAATACGATCTCAAAGTAAACGCCGACAGACATCGGACAGTTCACGTTCTAAATGAACGTCGTCGTAAATTACAAGACACAATGTGAAAAAGATACTCCTCATCGGTGAAAAAATTTTCGCAGTCGAAGAAGAGTTCAACCGGCAAAACAATAAAATTTATGCCAAAAGTATCAAAGATGTTCCAGTCTCACCACGAAATGTTCCGCATATCTATCATCCGGCCAGTGTGATGGTGTGGTGAGGGGTTTCGTATGATGGTGTGGTTGGGGGTTTCGTATGAAGGTGTCACTGTGTTCCATTTTTACTAACAATGCGTTAAGGTAAAAGCAAAAATTTTCATTTTAAAGACTGTGGTGAAAGCCCTGCCTAATACTTTATTTCACAACAAAGAATGGATTTTCCAGCAAGACTCAGCACCAAACCATGTTGCTAAAACGACTCAACCGTGTTTAAGGGAAAATTTACCGGGCGTCAATCGCGGCGCGCCGGCAGAAGAATGGCCACTCTCCAGTTCTGATCTTATCTTATTTTAAGATTTTCTTTTGTAACTAACACCATCATGTTATGTTGTATGACCTGAAATAAATGGTTTATTATTATTATTATTTATCCCGCCTTGACTGTTCTCTGTGGACTGAATTTTAGCTCATAGCCTGCCAAAAATTCCACTCAAACTTGGATTCTCTAAAGGGGGTCTCATCAAAGACGTAAAACGAATCTCCTGGAAAAGATCCGTGTCGCGATCCAAGATTGGCCAGAATGTCTAATAGCTTGTTCTCGTATTATGAATAAAGGCGGCCATTTTGAGTAGTAATTGCTTGTAGTTCTTGGACTTACCATTATTTGAAAATTTTGAAAATATAACCTAATTTTTTAAATTTATGTCACTTTAATTTCGTCTCAAAACTTATGAACACACGAAGTATTATTTCCCGACTTCTTTGTTTGTTTTACACGGCATTGAAACGACTACTGCATTAAAAAATCCTCCAAGATGCCTACAAAACCTCAAATATTGTTATCGATTTATTGCCAACCAACGGTGAAATGTTTGTTGGCTCGTTTGTACTTAAGTACGACGGGTGGGTTAATCTCCAGATCTTTCCTTCAATGTTTGCTTTTTGCGTCAGGCGTAAGGAAAATGTTGTAATGTAATTTGCGACGTTCATATTACGTATGTTGATGGAAATAAAACTAAACACTTGCAAAATGGTGTGAATTCGAGAAGTACATAGATATAATAAATAGTACTTTGACGAGTATCTACCTACATATGCATGAGTTGTTTATTATAGATTTACATTTATTTTATTAGAGTAAATGAACAGAACTATAAGAAGATTGGAATGCAATTAACCACATAATTATGTCTTTTAAAAGAGGAGCGGTCACATATTTGCATTTTATTATTGATAGCACTGACACCCACGGTCGATTATTTTAAATTTAAACGTGACATCAGCTTCATAATAATCTAAGCGCTAAATCTATAGAATATGGGTACACATCATTTAAATTAGATAATATTTTTTTCTATGGTGAAGTTTACCTTCGTACTGAATGATTAAACTTGTCTTTTCACAATTTGAGTATTGAATGATGAATAATTCGTTATAATCTATATATATGTTGTGTCCTATTCGTAATTGTTCAAAAATATTGCGACACGTTTTATCTTACTGTCTACTGTCCTTATCCTGGCTGCGATACGATAAAATGAGTAAATTAGATTTGCAAAAATTTCTATGCAGACAGAAAGTTTAATCTTTATATTTCTTGTGATAAACGATTGTGCAAAAAAACATTCATGGTCAAGGTCATTCCAAGGTTGTACTTGAATGACATTTAATTTTTTAAAGAACAGAAGCTGGAAAATGTAGG